TTTTAAATAGAGTCTCGTACTATTTCCAAGTCTGGAATGCAGTGGTGTGATCATAGCTCACTGGCAGCCTCAGCCTCCTGAGTTCAAGTGATCCTCCTGTCTCAGGCTCCTGGGTAACCAGGTCTATGGGCAAGTCACCAGGCCTGGCTAATTTTCAAGTAACTTTTTATAGAGATGGTGTCTAGCTATGTTGCCCAAGCTGGTCTGAAACTCTTGGCTTCAAGCGATCCTCCTGCCTTGGCCTCCCAAAATGTTGGATTACAGGCATAAGCCACCTCACCCAGAAAAAAAAAAAAAATTTTTTTTTTTTCTTTTTTGAGACAGTTTCACTCTTGTTGCCCAGGCTGGAGTGCAGTGGCACGATCTGGTCTCACGGCAACCTCCACCTGCCGGGTTCAAGCGATTCTCCTGCCTCAGCCTCCAGAGTAGCTGAGATTACAGGCATGCACCACCACGCCCAGCTAATTTTTTGTATTTTTCTTTAGTAGAGACAGGGTTTTGCCATGTTGGCAAGGCTGGTCTTGAACTCAACCTCAGATGATCTGCCCACCTCGGCCTCCCAGAGTGCTGGGATATACATTTAAGTCCTTAGCTTGATATTTGAGGCTCTCTCAGACTTTACTTATTTTTAGCCTTAAGTTCCCAACAGAAATCTCTCCACCTTCCTTCTGCCCTTTGTCATGCTCCTTTTGCTTATGTTGTTCTGCTAGGAATCTCCTGCCTTTCTACCTCTTCACCAATTCAAATTCTACCCAACCTAGAGTGCCTGGGTCAATCCCCACTTCTTCCACAAAGCCCAATTTGATCTTTCCCTTCTCTGAATCCTGACAACACCTAGCATCTGGCATCTGAATAATTCAGAACTATGCAGGTTTTCAGTAAATCTCTTATCTAGATTGTAGCACTGATGAGCAAGGAGCTATGCCTTATTAATAGTAATGAATACCTACCATATGCCAGATACCATGTTAAACCCTTTTCTTTTTTGAGACAGGGTCTTGCTCTGTCACCCAGGCTGGAGTGCAGTGGCGCAGTCTCGGCTCACTGTAGCCTGTGCCTCCCGGGTTCAAGTGATTCTCCTGCCTCAGCCTCCCGAGTAGCTGCGACTACAGGCACCCACAACCACGCCCAGCTAAGTTTTGTATTTTTAGTAGAAATGGGGTTTCACCATGTTGCCCAGGCTGGCCTCAAACTCCTGACCTCAGGTGATCCACCCACCTCGGCTTCCTAAAGTGATGCAATTACAGGTGTGAGCCACCACACCCAGCCCACATTAAGCCCTTTTCATTGATTCTCTTAATCCCCTCAAAGCCCCCAAGAGGTAAGATGAGGAAGCTGAGGTCTTCCAAAGCTCCTCAAGGCTCAGGACTGTCCCCGGGGCCCAGTGCAGGGTACCTTGCAGGTCCTGCTGGACTGAAAAAGTACCTGGGTCAGAGGCAGGCTCAGAGCTCGCAAGGCTCCCACGTGTTCCCCAAAGAGAGCAAGGCGCAAGGTGACACTGAACCGACGCTGCAGGGGCAGAAGGACCAGGGCCCCAAAGAGGTGGTCCCCAAAAGAGACAGCCTCAAAATGGTCCAGGAAGTTGGCATAGAGGTCAGGGAAAGACGTCAGGCCAGGGAGTGGGCAGTCCAGGTTGAGGTTTGGCAAGATTTGAGGCTGACAGAGCTGGGCTAGGAGGGCTGCCACCAGATGCTGTACTGGGGACTCTCGGAACAGCTCACTGTCCACCAGGAACACACACATGAGCCGTGCCAGGCGGGCAGCAGGGGGCACAGCCCAGAGGGCCTGGGGGCGCCAGCTCTCTAAAACTAGCACCCACTGCAGGACCCGCATGGCTGTGCCTACGGTGTCCATGGCAGAGAGTCCCGAGGGCGTGTCTGAAGCCCGGTGGTAGAGGTGAATCAGCGGCAGGAAGGGCCAGTCGGTGGGCAGCAGCGGCTCCGTAGGCACAGGCAGTAGCAGGGTTGGGACTCGCTGTAGCTCCCCTCGGTGCAGAGCCTGGGAGGCCAGCAGACTGGCTCGGGCTGGCAAGCAATGAGTCAGGTAGCAGCTGCGGATGCTGGGGAGGTCCTGGCAGGCCTGAGCTAGCAGAGTCCCTTGCCCACACCAAGGGACCTTGCTGCTTCCTAAAGACAGCTGGTCAGAGAAGTCAGCTGCCTCTGGACCCCCTGATGTTCTTTCCCTGTAATGGGACCCAAAAGCCAAAAATGAGGGCTGGAACCACAGCACCTGGAGGCTGTGCCAGCTCTTTGGGACTTCCTGGAGGCTCCTAGGTCCAGACCTGTGCCTCTCTGCTCCCTTAACAACCTCCCACGCAGTGCTGTGTAGCAGTTAAGAGGATGCACGCTAGAGCTAGCTGCCTAGGTATGAGTTTACATAACTTCTCTGAGCCTCAGTTTCCTCAGAGTAAAATAAGGATAATAATAGTATCTATCTCATGGTCCAAGTAAAATACTTAACATGTTGATAAATACATAAGGGAGTATCAGACACGGAGTAAACACTCTGTAGCTGATGGCTATTACATGTGTGTAACTGATTTATATACCATTTTTTTAGCCATGCAGTCACACTGAAGTCTCACAATCATTCTTGGGTGTGTTTAGCCTGATCCTCACTTCACTAATGAGGTAATAGAAGCTCAGAAGAATTAAGTGTCATCCATGGAAGAAAGAGAACTTAGGTCTCCTGGCTCCAAATTCAGGGCTGCTCTGTTAACAACCGCAGCAGTGTCCAAAAGGGCTGTTGATGCCACCAACCAAGCACTTACGGGAGGAGCTCCAGCCGGAATACACAGCTCAGCAGCAGCTCATGGGCGAGGTGCTCACTTCCAGGCAGCAGCCGGCTCAGCAGGGCCAAGGCCATACCATGATGGAGGGCAGCATGGGGGGCTGGCAGTAGCTGCAGTGCTGCCTGCAGACAGAAAAACAGGGAGCTATCTGGTGCGGGAGAAGGGGACGTGGCAGAGAGAAGTGAGGAAGATAAAAGTGAGGCTGAAGGGCACAGGTCCAGGGCATGTCTGGAGGAAAGTGGGAGCTGCATGGCCTGGCAGAAGCAGGCTGGGGTCCACAGAAACAGGAGGGGGATAATGGGATGGGGGGCAGAACCTGTCAGACAGGGGGACCCACCGCTTTCTGGGCCAGAGCGAGTGCCAGGTACTGCAGGTGGTACTCGTGGCGCAGGGCCCACGCAGAGAAGGGTGTGAGGTGTGGGGCAGCCCCAGGAGCCACACACTGGAGGAAGTAATTCTGGAGTCCCGGGGCAGCCAATATGGCAGCCAGCTGAGGAAAAGCAATTTTGTTCAGATATAGAAATTGACTCTGATGCCTTCTAGGGCTCCCCAGGTGGCTGCCCCTCTCTCCAGACTCAGGGAAATGAGTGCCAGCAGAAGGCCTCCCTTCCCCATGGGACACCCTCCCACTTTCTGTTTTTTTTGAGATGGAGTTTCGCTCTTGTTGCCCAGGCTGGAGTGCAGTTCACCACAACCTCTGCCTCCCAGGTTCAAGCGATTCTCCTGCCTCAGCCTCCAAGTAGCTGGGATTACAGGTATGAGCCACCACACCCAGCTAATTTTGTGTTTTTAGTAGAGACGGGGTTTCTTCATGTTGGTCAGGCTGGTCTCGAACTCCTGACCTCAGGTGATCTTCCCCCCTCGGCCTCCCAAAGTGTTGGGATTACAGGCGTGAGCCACTGCGCCCATTCCACCCTTCCATTTTCTTTCTGATTCCTGCCATCTTGGCCCCTTGCCTGGCCCCTAACTAGACACCCCACACTTACCTGGCCACACAGCCCCTTGTGGATCTGGGCGAGGGTATTGAGAAGAGAGAGGAGGGCAGTGAGGAAGGGGAAGGGTGAGGCTGAGCCAGCCAGACTGAGACTGGGGCAGCCTCCCGAGCAGCCCAGTGACACGAGGCTGGGGGGAGCTTCAGGGGCTGGCGCACAGCACAGCGGGTTGCAGAGAGGGGAGCAGTGCCTGTAGGTAAAGTGTAAAGAGCTGCTGGGTCTGTACCCAAGACTAACGGGGGGCCTGGCTGTGGAGGTCAGTGCCCACACTCCTCAGAGCCCACCCCACTGCTGCCTGCTAGGGACTCGGGTTTCCCTTGGGCTGAGGGCCTGCACCCTGGGATGGACCAGGGAACTGGACCCAGGAATCCCACAAGGATGAAACTGTCTCCTCCCGACTCCCCCAGCTACCACACACAGTACATACCTAAGGGAATCCCACAGGCCGCCCAGGGTGGGCTGACTCAGCAGTGGCAGCAACAGCTCCTCTGACAGGCGCTCCATGTCCTGGAGCCAATCCTCTGGGCACGAGCTCGGCTGGTGGACCAAGGAGTTCACTGAGCTGCTGGCCCAGCCATTCATTCTCCTAGCCCCTGTGTACCCAGGCCAATGCCACCATCCCAAGAGCCCAAAAGAGCATGTTTGGAGGCTTCTGCAGGCTGAGCCTTCTTGGGAGAGAAGGCCCCTATGTGTACGGGGCATAAAGAGAGAGCACCCAGGCTACAGGAAGGCTGAGCTGCTGCGTGGGCTCTCTGGCTCCTGGGAAGCTGAACGGGGATATGGAGGTGAAAAGAGGAAGAAGGGTAGGAATTAAAAGGGAAGACAGTAAATGGGGAAGTAGGAGTGAAGAGACGGACACAGAGAGGGAGCAACAGGTGGAATGTAGCTGAAGGCAGGGTGCGGGGGCCTGGTAGATGGCCAGCAGGAGGCACTCACTTGCTGGCTCCAGGCCTGGTAGTAGGCACCCAGGAACAACAGGCAGGCAACCGGCACTGGGCCCACGGCTCTCCACATCTCAGGTCTGGACAGCAGCTTCAAGGTCTGCCTTAGACACGGCTCGACAAGAGGCTGGAGCCCAGACACCTGTGTCCAAGTGACTAAGGAAGGGGTGGCCGAGAGGCTGGCCTCAGCAGAATCACTACAAAAGTGCCAAAGGAGGCCACAGTGAGGATCTGGCTGCCTCACGCTCCTCTACGCTCCAGTCACCCCAGCCCTGTGGAGGAGCCCTCCACCTGTCCTGTGGGTCCTGGCTATAAACTACCTGATGGCTTCAGCGGGGGTGCTGCCGGCTGCCAGAGTCAGCTGGGTGAGGAGAGTGAGCAGTGCGGCTATCCGCTGCATGGACAGGGACTGAGGCGGGTGGGTGCTGAGCTCCTGTGGCACCACCTGCAAGGCCCGCATCAGCACTGGGTAGAGCTCCCTAGGGAAGAACAGGGACTGATTTTCACTGCATGAAAGCAGGTGAAGACATGAGACGTAGGTCACGGCCCTGACCCAGGGATCTGCAGTTTGGTAAAGGAGGATGAGGAGGAAGAGTGGGGCACTCTTGGAAGGCTCAGCCCTAAAGAATGGAAAGGATGTAGTCCTTCAAGGCTGCCCCCAACAGGGAATTTAAATGTGATTTCACAGATACCAATGCTTTTTTTTGTTTTGTTTTTGAGACAGATTCTCTGTTGCCCAGGCTGGAGTGCAGTGGAATGATGGAGTGATCTCGGCTCACTGCAACCTCTGCCTCCCAGCTTAAACCGATTCTCCTGCCTCAACCTTCTGAGTAGCTGGGACTACAGGCATGCACCACCACACCTGGCTAATTTTTGTATTTTTAGTAGAGACGGGATTTCACCATATTGGCCAGGCTGGTCTCGAACTCCTGACCTCGTGATCCGCCTACCTTGGCATCCCAAAGTGCTGGGATTACAGGCGTGAGCCACTGTGCCCGGCCAATGCTTTTGAGCAGAGAATATGGTTAACCAGGTTTGTCCCCCTCTTCCCTGGCTGGGCCTGACTCCTAAGCCTTTTCACATCTGGCAGAAATCCTCCCCCTCATTCTTATCCTTCCTCCAACCTTGGGACCTTGAGCAAGGCTGAGGTGTTTGATTTGGCCAGAAGAACAGAACTGAAGGTATCTAGGGGGAGCCTACCCACTGCCTCTCCTCACCTGTAAAGGTCACCGCCCTGGCCATAGGAGGCAGCCACAGCCCACAGGCGGAGGGCCTCGGTGCTCAGCGTCTCAGCTTCCTCTGGGGGCAAGGCCAGTTCTTGGGGAGCCTCAGCTATGAAGCGGCACAGGCGGCTCCGGAGATCAAAGCTGCTCAACTGGAAATGGGCACAGTCTGGGGATCAGGGTCAGCTGTGCGTCTTAAGTCCAGCTACTCTCAGCTGGACAGAGGGTGGCTTAACTCAATCCTGACCCAGGCCCCTCTGGTGCCACAGTCATATCTCATCCACCCTGCCCTTCCTCCTTGTTTATTTTATGATTTCTTTAAAATCTCAATTTTATTATTTTTTTATCATTTATTGTTATTATTATTATTGAGACGGAGTTTTGCTGTGTTGCCCAGGCTGGAGTGCAGTGGTGCGATTTGGCTCACCACAACCTCCGCCTCCCGGGTTCAAGCGATTCTCCTGCCTCAGCCTCCTGAGTAGCTGGAACTAGAGGTGCGTGCCACCATGCCCGGCTAATTTTTGTATTTTTAGTAGAGACGGGGTTTCACTATGTTGGCCAGGCTGGTCTCGAACTGCTGACCCTGTGATCTACCCACCTTGGCCTCCCAAAGTGTTAGGATTACAGGTGTGAGCCATTGCACCTGGCCCCTACTATTTTTTTTTAGACAGAGTCTTGTTTTGCCACCCAGGCTGGAATGCAGTGGCATGATCTTGGCTCATGCCAGCCTCCATCTCCCGGGTTCAAGCAATTCTCCTGCCTCAGCCTCCCAAGTAGCTGGGACTACAGGCACGCACCACCACACCCAGCTAATTTTTGTACTTTTAGTAGAGACAGGGTTTTGCCATGTTGGCCAGGCTGGTCTCGAACTCCTAACCTCAAGTGATCCACCACCTCGACCTCCCAAAGTGCTGAGATTACACACATGAGCCACCACACCTGGCCAGTAGTAGTATTTTTGAGACAGGGTCTCACCCTGTTGCCTAGGCTGTAGTGCAGTGGTTGGTGCAATCATAGCCCACTGCAGCCTCCACCTCCCAGCTCAAGTGATCCTTCTACCTCAGCATAGCGAGTAGCTGAGACTACAGGCATGTGCTACCACATCTAGCTAATTTTTTGTTTTTGTTTTTTATAGAGACAGAGTCTCACTATTTTGCCCAGGCTGGCCCCTGAACTCCTGGCCTCAAGTGATCCTCCTGCCTTGGCCTCCCAAAGTGCTGGGATTCAGGCCTGAGCCACTACACCTAGCCCTCCCTCTTTTTAGCAAGGTTTGCTGGGCACCTTCTCTAGGGCTACTTGGCTATAGGTGATGAGTGCCTATGTGCATGAGGCCCTGATCTGGGTCTAGGGAACAGGGAGACCTCCTATCACATCATGAGACCACAGTACCCCTATATGATGCACCAGGCTCCAGTAAACAGGTTCATGCCTGGTGGTTTCTGTCGCATTTCTAAGCAACTGGATCAGAGAGGAAGAAGATGGCAAGAGCTGGCCACCCAGAGTTCAGGAGCCATGTTTAGCTCCCAACCTAACCCTGTCCCATGCATTCCCCCATCCCTCGCCCTATGTCCTGCTCACCAGCCGGGCAGCAATATTCCTCCCAGCTGAGGCCAGGACACGAAGTAGTTTCATGGCAGTAGCACAGGGTACTTTGTATAGACTAGGGGTAGGCCCTGCCCCCACAGGAGACCAGCTGGTGGGCAAGAACTCTCGAACTATGGTCTCTATCAGCCGAGGGCACTCCAGGACCTATGGGAGACAGGAGGAGAAAGGGAGGCAGGAGGAGAAAGGGAGGCAGGAGGAGAAAGGGAG